AACAGAAATGTGGAACCTAGTGGATTTCAATCCCATCAAAAAAGAGTAAGCCTCCTCAAGCAGCCCAGGCAGCTGCAGCTGAGCAATCAGAGGAGAAAGACTTAGGGATTGCCAAGCTAATGACATAACATAGGAGCCAAAATCCCTTGGAATTGTGGCCTCCAGAAGAGGCTGGAGGCACTATGTTGAACTAATGATTCATTGGTCTGGAAAGAACATTCAGCAGGCTATGGCACTAGTGGAGTAGAAACATCAGTTGTATCACAGAATCATAGAATGGTTTGGGTTGGAAGGGACCTTTAAGATCATCTAGTTCCAGCCCTCTGCTATAGGCAGGGACACCTTCCACTAGACTCAAAGCCCCATCCAGCCTGGTCTTGAATGTTTCCAGGGAGGGAACATCCACAACATCACTGGGCAACCTGTTCCAGTGTCTCAACAGTAAAGAATTTCTTCCTAATATCTAGTATAAACCTACCTTCTTCCAGTTTAAAACTTTCCCCTCATCCTGTTCCTACGTGCCATTCTAAACATTCCTTCCCCAGCTTTCCTGTAGGTCCCTTTCAGGTTCTGGAAGCCTCCCTCCAGAGCCCTCTCTTCTAGGCTGAAGAGTCCTAGCTCTCTCACAGTCTGTCCTTGTAAGAGAGCTGCTCAAGCCCTCTGGTCATCTTTGTGGCCCTCCTCTGGAGCCCCTCCAAGAGCTTTATGTCATTCTTGTGTTGCATGCCCCAGAACAGGATGCAGGGTAAAGAGGTAGAATCATCACCTGTTGGCCACACTTCTCTTGAGGCAACCCAGGATGCAGTTGGCTTTCTGGGCTGCAAGCACACATTGCCAGCTCATGTTAAGTTTCTCATCAACCAGCATCCCCAAATCCTACCCCTCAGATTTGCTCTCAAGCCATTCTCCACCCAGCCTGTATCTGTGTTTGAGATTGCTCCAGCCAAGGTGCAGGACCTTGCACCTGGCCTTGTTGAACTTCTTGAGGTTAGCAAAGGCCCACCTCTCAAGTTTCTCCAAGTTTCTCTGGATAGCATCCTTTCCCTCTGGAGTGTCAGCTGTACCACTCAGCTTAACGTCATCTGCAAGCTTATTGAGGATGCACTTGATCCCACTGTTCATGTTGCTGACAAAAATGTTAAACAACACTAATCACAAGCACTGATCCCTGAAGAATGCCACTCATCAGTAGTGTTCACTTGGACATCGAGCTGTTGACTGCAATTCTGAGTGCAACCATCCAGCCAATTCCTTATCCCTTGAGTGGTCCATCCATCAAATCCATTTTTCTCCAATTCTGTTCAAACCAGGACATCGTGGGATAGCATCAAAATGTTTTGTACAAGTCCAAGTAGGTGATGTCAGTTTGCTCTTCCTTTATCCACTGATGCTGTAACTCTACCATAAAAGGCCACCAAGTTTGTCAAGCATGATTTGCCCTTGGTGAAGCCACATTGGTTACCACCAATCACCTCATCTTTATTTTCCACATGCCTTAATAGGGTCTTAATGGAAGATCTGCTCCATGATCTTACCATGCACAGAAGTGAGACTGACTGGCCTGTAGTTCCCTCTGGTTTTGTTTTTTTCCCTTCTTGAAAATGGGGTTATGTTTCCCCTTTTCCAAGGCTTTTAGCTCATACTAACAAAGAAAACATTGCTGGTAATTCCCTTGTCTTCCAACTACATTCAGCACAAATTGCTTTCTCTCAACTAGAATGTTATTTATTCCTTATTGACAAATTAACTGAGTATGAAGCACACAGTTAGTGAAGAAACCAGTTTCTAAAGATCATTTCACACTTTCAGACATGATGTTTTCATGCCCTATTTTCAGTACTGCATTTCCATTTTGTTTCTGGATTTTCATTTGTTTTGTAATTAACCTTTGCAACACTAGTTAACTGGATGTTTGTTCACATTGTTGACCTTTCTGATAAATTCATCTCTGAAACATAAAACAAAAAATAAAATAATTCTTAACGCACCTTCCTTGGAAAAGGCCAAATTTAAAGACAGTTGTGTCACTGTTACACTTTTTTTTTTTTTCCCAGCAACTATTTTAAAATCAACAATCTCTGTATCAGTTATGTAGCACACTCGTAGAAAGAAAGCTCACGTATGAGTGCTGATTCCTATGGTTCCTTGTTAGCTCAGCCAACTGATATTTTGAAGTTAATGGAGACAGAACTAAAATATATTTTAGTTCTAAACTAAAACAAAAGAAAGTTTATCATACCCACAAAAATGTTTATTCATTTCAAGTAAATAAGTGCAAGGTTTTCCTTGCTTTGTCGTCTTATTGTTTCTTTTTGTTTGCTTGCTTGTTTTACCCCAGCACTAAGTCTTCCATGGTCAGAAATTTATTACATTACCTAAAAATAAAATCGTTGAATATTCAAGACTTCATTTCAGAAATCCAGATTCAACATTTCTACTCACTGAAGTTTTTTTGTGTAGTACTTTACCGAAGTACTTTAAATAAAAAATTATTTCTGTATTCAGTCAAGATCTTTGTATTAAAAAAAAAAAAAAAAAAAAAATCCCAAGCAGTTATCCAACAATTTTGTGACAAACTTCTACAAAATTTGTGCATCATCTTTATTTGGAAACAGCCAGTAGTATAAATTTCCAAAATAGAAACAAACAATTGACAGGAATTCATTCATCCTTCTGTCAGTCTCAGCACATTTAAGCATTCTGGCATGCAGAACAGAAAATGGTATTTTTTAAGGTAATATAAACCAAAGAAAGAACAAAGATAAAAAGGATTATACTTTCAAAATCATATACATCTTACAAATCTTATACTAGAGCACTATATAGTCTGACCGTAATGTCTCCTACTTTGCTATTAAAGAGATTAAAGAGGTGAAAAAGATTTATGTTCCTGAGAAAGAAAAATATTTTAACAAAACCAAACTGATACAAAAAATAAAATGTAAGTCTTAACATTTCTTAAAAAAAAAAGCTTTCCCTTTTTGAAAAACAAACAAAAACTGGTTTCACATAGGAATCCAAAAGAAATCCAGATATCAGGCACTTCTAGAAAAGCAGCTACATGTACAGGATTTTTGTATTGTGTGTTCTGTAGAGCAACTCGGTGCAGCCTAAAACAAATACTACATTTTTATTACCAAAAACCAAATTACATATTCAAAATGCTATAAAAGAGGCTCAAGAAATTAAAAGAAAACATATTTCTTTCCAAACAAGAAGCTCAGCAGTTACTAGAAGGAGTCTAATTAAAAACATCAAGGCGATTAACAATTCCTATTTCTACAATACAGTTTAACACAGAGACGATGCTAAAGCAAGGTTACAAATATTAAAGCAGGCAGCTACGATCCTCACTGCAAAACCCTGGAAGTTGTCATCTCTAGTGTGTCATCTTCTACACATTATTCACAGTAGCTGACCCAGGAGAAACAGAATCATGCTGAAGGATCTGAGCGAGCCAGTTCACTTGAAATCACACATGAAATGAAATTTCTGATTCTACCTTCTAACTCACTGAAACCGATACATTTAGAAGGCAGAACAAGTTTCAGCTACTTATTCAAAACATATTGTTATAATGAAGTTCAGCTAGCAACTATAAATCTAGAACTAAGACACTCAGAAGTTACTTTATTATTATTATTTTTAACTGTTGTCATCAAAATGGCAGTTGTGTCTCATACTCTGAAATCCATGAAAGCACAGAAATATTTCCCTGAGGCTCTACGTGGTAAATATGATATATCAGATACAGAAAAACAGAACCTAAATATTCACGATTCTGATCTCATTTGTTTCACAGTTTAACAGAATGTACTCAGGCAATTCAGCATCTCTCCCCATCCTGAAATCCATGTAGTACAGATCTTTGTCTCTGCTGTTCCCACACAGGATTAGCGAGCTGCTATAACACTCCTTCTCACAAGAAGATCCTTCATCAGGCATAAGATCTCAAATGTCACCCTTCTACAACAATCTCTAAGTACAGAGAACATCCTTTAACTCTCCAACAATCTTCTAAAGCCAATTTAAATCTAAAGCCTATAACAAACTGCATATTGGCAAGAAACTTTGGCTACAGCGTCATCACTTAGAAATCCCCAAGTTTCATTACATTAATTCTTGTGGCTATGTTTCTTCCTTCATTTTATTATTATTATTTTTTTTTAATATAAGGATGTATTTTTTTCTTTGGCTTTGAAACACATCTCAGTGTGTGGTTGTGGAAAATGCAGACTGCAGACCCCGATCCCTCAAGAAAGCACCGTGCCAGAGCCTACAGTTCACAAGGCTGCTTGCCAACTCCAAGGTTCACATGCTGAAAGCTCACTTGGAAGCAAGAGGCCTATGTCTGGAAATCATCTGACTAAGAAGGAAAATTAAAACCTCCCTATGACAGAGGGACATCAGCATTTCTGAGGAAAACCAACGCGGACCCCATCTGCAAATGAGGTTTTTTGTTATAATAGTATCTCCAAGCTGTTTTCTTTCACTGTCAGTATCCTACAACACGCTGCGCTATGAAGAACTCCGGCACATTCAGAGCACAGACAACAACCAACTTACAGCAAAACATGTTAAAATCTACAGAACAAACTCCTCTACAAAGGGTTCACAATGCAAAAAAGATTCACAAAGGAGATGCAAATTGTTTTCTCAGAAAAGGACTGCGTTTTTCCACTACCCCATCCAGCAAAGCATTTGGGAAGATGTCTCCAAAAAAGCTTCAATAATCACATGTATAACTTGCCAAAACTTCTAAACAGTCGCGTGCCGCGACGCTGCCAACACCAATATTTTAGGCTTTAGTTTTTGCTTTTATCCGTACAGCACCAACACGGAGCAGCCACACGGCTGCCCACAGCAGAGTTCGTAGTAACGCCCATGGCGGTACAGCGGCACTGCACGCCCCGCCCCGAGCCACCTGCTGCGGGCAGCGCCCAGCTGCCCCTCCTCACGCCGCCACAGCGCCCCTCGCGCCGCCCCGCCCAGTGCGTTACTTCAGGGCGGCGGTCTCGCATTGCTTCTTCCTTGCACTTCCCCGCCGGCTGGGAAACAGCCTCCCCGTGTGCCGTGTTCCGCCGCAGGCGGTGGCCGCCCTGAGAAAGCGCAGTGGGGCGGGTGCTGCCCCTGGCAGCCTCCGTCCTCTGCTATGAACTGCTCCCCTCGTCACTCCCTCCCGCTGTTGGTACTGCAACACGTTTTCTCCTTAAACGAAAGGCAGTCAGTCAGTCAGAGCTGTCAGCTCAGAGAGGCACCTGAGTTCCACAGAGCCGCTCCCACCTATGCCAGGGGATGTTGGCAAAGTGTGAGACCCTCCTGTACTTCTCTTCACTCCTAAAATGGAGCTGAGCAATGTTTGCACGCCTGTACAAATCCCAGAAACACTTTAAAGGCAAAAATACAGGTTAGCAGTCTACTAGTCTGCAGTTGCAGAAAGGGGAGGGGTAACCTTGAAGATTAATGGCAATTGAAATCACAGATGATGCAACTATTAAAAATGCTAAAGTATTAGACTGATGAGAAAACAACACGGAAAGAAAAGGAAGAAAAGACACCGTTTAATTACCATCAGTGGATGCATCCATGGGTAGGGTCGAGCGATTTGAGCTGATCTGAGCATAGCATTGGGATGTGCTAACAGCAGGTGGCATGTATACTGTGCAGGGACAGCAAAACAGCGTGCTATTCAGACACAGATAGCCTGCTTTATCTAGTCTAGTTTAAAAGCCAATAGCTACAGCTCTCATCCTCTTCTAATCATTTTATTTTTTTTTTATTCACTTAAAGGCAAAGCCTAAAAGCTCAAGTTCCTTCACCATGATTTATTATAATATTCAATTAATAACATTTATCTCAATTCCATTTTATTTTCCAGCAGCAGTTTCCAGGTTTATTTGCAGTGCTGTGTGTTTAATTAGGCCATGTCCTGAGAGGGCTCAGATATGTAAGGAAAACCCAAGATGAGCAAAGACACACTGCACCTAAGGGTGCTTTCAGCAAGAACTGCTCCGCCAGTCCCAGCTGTAAAACTTTTGAAAATGTGACGTTGCCTGATTTCAATTTCTTCTGGATAACACGATACCACGTTCTGGGTAACGGACTTCTGAAGTGCTTATTGGCATAAGCTCCCTAAGCATGGGCTGCAGACGATTTTGTTTTTTTTTTTTTCCTGTAGTCCCATGTTTTGGGGTACAGTCAGGATTCAGAAGTGTTGTATGCATGTATACAAGCATTCTCTTTTGTCTATTAAATGTCAGTTGTATTGACATTCTGGCATAGTTTTAGGAAGAATTTTGATAAAGACAGCCAGTTTTACAGCTGGAACAAAAAAAGGTTTTCTCTCCGTATCTGCAGCTGCAGAAGCTGGCAGCCAGAGGCTTGGATGGGTACACTCTTGGCTGGGTAAGGAGCTGGCTGGAGGGCCGGGCACAGAGAGTTGTGGTGAATGGAGTCAAATCCAGCTGGCGACCGGTTGTGAGTGGTGTTCCCCAGGGGTCGGTGCTGGGGCCTGTCCTCTTCAATATCTTTATTGATGACCTCGATGAGGGCATCGAGTGCAGCCTCAGTAAATTCGCAGATGACACCAAATTGGCTGGAAGTGTGGATCTGCCTGGGGGTAGCGAGGCCCTACAGAGGGATCTGGACAGGCTGGAGAGCTGGGCTGAAGCCAAAGGGATGAGTTTCAACAAGGCCAAATGCCGGGTCCTGCACTTCGGCCACAACAACCCCAGGCGACGCTACAGGCTTGGGGCGGTGTGGCTGGAGGACGGTGTAGAGGAAATGGACCTGGGCGTATTGATTGATGCTCGGCTGAACATGAGCCAACAGTGTGCCCAGGTGGCCAAGAAGGCCAATGGCATCCTGGCTTGCATCAGAAACAGTGTTGCAAGCAGGAGCAGAGAGGAGATTGTTCCCCTATATTCAGCACTAGTGAGGCCGCACCTCGAGTACTGTGTCCAGTTTTGGGCCCCTCACTGCAAGAAAGACATTGAGGCCCTGGAACGTGTTCAAAGGAGGGCAACAAAGCTGGTGAGGGGTCTGGAACACAGGGCTTATGAGGAGAGGCTGAAGGAGCTGGGAATGTTCAGCCTGGAGAAGAGGAGGCTCAGGGGAGACCTCATTGCTCTCTATAACTTCCTGAAGGGAGGTTGTAGTGAGCTGGGGGTCGGCCTCTTCTCTCGTGTCATTAGTGATAGGACCAGGGGGAATGGTTTCAAGCTACGGCAGGGGAGATTCAGGCTGGACATTAGGAAGTATTACTTTTCAGAAAGGGTGGTCAGGCACTGGAATGGATGCCCAGGGAGGTGGTGGAGTCACCGACCCTGGGGGTGTTCAAGGAAAGACTGGATGTTGTGTTGAGGGACATGGTTTAGTAGGAGCTATTGGGAATAGGTGAACGGTTGGACTGGGTGATCTTTTAGGTCTTTTCCAACCTTGGTGATTCTATGATTCTATGATTCTATCCTGTGATACTTTCACAAGTGCAGTTGTATTCAGCCCACTGACTTTATTAACTTCTATTTTACATAAGAGCACTGTGTCCTTGTGAACTATACATGTAATCTTCCCTAGACATCATTTCTCACTTTGTCATTTTTTACATTACAGTTATATTGTATTCGCAGTGTCCCCAGAAAGTCTTAAAAAACAATGTGGAGATCCATAGTCATAGTCATAAGGAAGATGGAAGACAGGATCATAGAGAACAGAAAGGGTGAAGCAAGAATGAGGCTACAGTCTCACCTAAAATTTCAAGACTGAGGGAGTTAAGAGAAGCCCTGCAGTACTTCCATCTCTTTTGCCTTTCACCATTCACTGATGTCACTCAGTCCAAAAGGCAGTTTTTGGGTTTTGGGTTCAGTACACCTGAAAGTCAAACCTGTTCTCTTTTAAAAGAGCCAGTGATGTTGTTCTCTGAAGCCTCGGAGAAAAACCAGCATTTTTGTGCTTGGAATACTGTTTGACACTGCCTTGCAGTACAGTTGGAATGTATTACTAAATAATTTGATAAATATCTCTGAATATTTTTACAGCTGTAGATAGGAGTCACAAAGGCTTGCTAAATATTTTCCTGAGTTGACTCAAGGTCAGACCCATCCCCTCGACTTATGATACCTAATATTCCTTGTTTCACATTACTTTTAAACTGAGAGGAAATATCTATGAAGAAAAGCCCTCAAATCTTTTTTTTTTTTTTTTTTTTCATAAATGTTATTACTTTTTCCCAATACGTCTTGCCCCTTTTACATCCTCAGACAACAATAACTTATTCAAAAGCAACAGTAATCACAACAGTAATAAATTATGTAAGCTCTAGACTTGCTCACAAGGAGTTGTAAAAGTCACTAAGGGTGAAGAATATTAATATTTTGCAACCAAATTAGATCCAAGCATAGTCACACAGAACACAATCAAAAGGAGCTTTAGTATAATTTTCCAAATATACAGCAATAAGCAGCAGTGTATTTTTTCGTTACATTTTAAATTACATTTTCTTATTATAATTCAAGCTGTGTATGACAGAGACAAGCAAATAATGCTGCTAGAAATAGGGGGAAAAAAGCTCTGTAGCAAAAGCCATACAGCAAAGAGAATGGTAAAACGTGTTGAAATGTAAACTCTGAAATAGAAATGAGTTTCTTTCAAGAAGCAACAAGGAGAGGTGTGTACTGTTGCTGCAAGTGAGAAACATGTTTTAAATTAAATAACCGTAGAAGCTTACCACTTGATTAAACCTCAGGTTAATCTCCCATATTACACTAAATCCATATGCTTATCCAAGTGTACCAAACAATATATTCATTCCGTGGCTTATTTTGGGCTTTATTGCTACCTCTGTGAATACCACTTAAAGTGATGTAATCAGGATAAGCAGTGCAGCTGGTTGGTTTTGGCTAAAGGAGGCACTGAGTCTGATTTTTCAGCAGTTTAATAAGTTTTGATATCCTTATATCCTTATAAATCCTACAATGCATATGCCAGATCCTCATGGTTGAAAAGAAAACCAGCAAAACTCACAATGATAATTTATTGAGTTTATTGAAAAACATCTTTAACAGATCAACAAATTCATATCTTAACTTACTCCATAGCAGAAAACCTGCATGCCCTTGTTGATTGAGATAAAATTCCTTCTACATGCACAGTTGAGCTTCTTGTTACTCCCTGATAGTCGCTCCCTCTTTTCTAATGCAGAGCTGGCTGGATCTTACTAGTTTGTCATCTCTGAAAGCAAAATAGTTTGTAAAATGCTTTGAAGAAGGAAGATACTATCAAAAATTCAAAGTATGTTTTCAAAAGCCAGTGTCAGTTCACTTTGAGTTTAATTATGATTGAATATAGAGATGAATTTTCTAAGTAAACCTTGAGTTTTCACTTCCAGCACTGTATATGCACAAGACCTGCATTGTGACATGATCTTTAAAATAACTCAGGATGTAACTGCAACAGCACATTAGGGTTTACTTTTAAAATTACCAAGTGATGAGTGACAGATACCAATAGAGTTCTCCCTACAGTTGACTTTTACTTTACAGAGCATAACTTCATGTAAGTTCTGCATTACCTTGCACAAAGCTCTCTCACAGTCTGACTCCCAGTCAGTTCTTCCATAGACAAAATTTACTGATGTTTCTCCAGTAACTCCAGGTTGTAATGAAGTGCTTTGCTATAATGTATCCTACCATTTTAATTAGTATCCTACCATTCTAATGAGGACTGCAGATCCATGCCGAGGGTTCAGGGATGTTTGGGTTCTCTCTCATTCTTTTATTTGAGAACCTGGGCTTTCATGCAGGAGCCCATAGATACTATAACACTAAAGCAAGACATTCAGGCAAGATTATAACAGCAATGTCTTCAGGCCTCAGCTTTAACCATTTGAGAAATATGTAATCGATAACGGCTTGAAAAGATATAATGTGAAGGTCCTACTTTCTACAGAAAAATCAAAAAGGTAGTAGGCAACTTTTGAGTTTTAAAATTTCACTTGAATGTACTACAGAAAGAAATTTCTGTAAGAAACATTCAGTCTGTTTTTTTTTCTTTTTTTTTTCTTTTTTTTTCTTTTTTTTCTGGCTCGAAGTCTCCAGTGAGGCACAAAAGGCTCCATAATCTAAACATATTCAACCTTTCTGTGGCAATGAGGCACAGACTCAGATGCAAACGATCCAAATTGTTTATTACAGGTTCTCACATAACTTATATACATTCACAAGTTTCCTTTTTTTGGCTTTCCCATCCTCCCTTACCACTTTCCCATCTGCCTTTACATGTCAACAAAGTATTACACAAACACCCCTTTAACTGTGCACACAGGTGCTCATCTGATCAGAGCCATAGGCTGCTCCTTTTGCTTTTCTCTTCTTCTAGAGATGTCCTTGATTCTCAGCCTTCCTTTCTCATGCTATTTATCTTGCTTCATAGCTGCTGCTCTGAATAGTCTTTCTTGCATTCCCACACCTTTCTTTCACTAAATTTATTAGATTTATTCTGGAAGTTATGAACTCCAATATTCAGTCACATTGCAACACGACTCACTCCAGAATTCCCCATACCCATTTTTAATAAGAAACAGTATAATTAGAATTAGATTTCCTCTGTTAATGCAGTCATGATTAGTTCATTTGTGGTTAGATTTTAAAGGCTGGCTTTCTAATACATGTCAGTCTTCTCCTACTACTTCCCTTATGATGAATCTTGGAAGTAGAAAAGAAAAACATAATAAAAGAATATCAAAGCCAATTTACCTGTGCAATACATTCCAGGCTGAAAATCTTCCTTGTGAGACAGTCCAGGAAGGTTCACCTGGGTGATTATACTCTGTTGTTTTGTTTCTTCTTTTTATTTTTTTTCTTTTCTTTTTTTTTCTTTGTAATTGTGTGTGAAGATAAGAGAGTTAAAAGGTTTGAGTAACAGGAATTTTCTAGGATTTCAAGCTTGTTCAGACTCATTGTTCATTTTCTTTCAGTATCTTCTCATCTGCTAGTTAGAGCAAATACTTGCACTGCACTCCACAAAATGCTTGAGCAAGACGAAATCCTGTACGAGACTCTATTAGTAATACCCTCAAATTTAAGGCTTGATTTGCCATCTTGAAGTGAACCAGCATTGTGACTAAAGCTCTTCTTGAGTCTCAGTACAAAAATCCATTGCCTTATGTATTTTGTTCTTCAACTTCTCAGCAAACCAAAAAGCTGTTAAAAATTATCTACAACAAAAGACCTGCAGAAATAAAAAAGAAAATATTCACTATCTGCATAAGTGTTCATACACCACAGATATTCATCTGATTAACATTTATAGTGAATAGTTCTAAATACAGGCATCCAAGAACTATTTCCT